AGCACTAGTATGTCACTCAATTTCGATGTCTAACGTTATAATTTTTTTAAACGTGAGAGAAAGCTCATTTCGTTTTTTTTTGTTTTTTGTTTTTTTGGGCGAGTTTCAAAACAGATTATGCCCGAGTTTCTTTGTACTTTAAAAGTAAAAACAAACAAACGATATTATGTTTGATAGGAAAAATGAAGATAATTTGAAGGGTTTCGTTGTTGATTTCACTTGTTAGTGAATCTTTGTCTGTTTGTTTGAAGCTAAACACAAAGCTAAACAATGGGCTATCTGTGCTCTGCCCACCACGGGTATCGAAACCCGGTTTCTAGCGTTGTAAGTCCGCGGATATACCTCTGTGCCACTTCGTTAGTGGATCTCGTTAAAGGAAAACTTCACAAAAGAATGCTTTATCCTATGCAGTTTAAGAAAGAACCCTAAAAGATTAAGTGAATTGAAGCAGTTATAGCTAAAGGTTGTACCCACTTTTAGGTTCAAGAGGGGTTTCAGGATCGCATATATATATATATATGTATGTATGTGTGTGTGTGTGTATATTACTTTTCATTTTTTTGAAGTACAAACCCCCATGCCAAATTAAAAACAAACAAACGTTAAAAATATATATTAATATTTTTAACACTTGCCCATTAACGGGAAGGATGTGATTGTTTTCTCTGGCACAACTAAAGAATATGTAGCGCGATTCTTGTAAGTTTGAAAATAAGAGAACACTTGCTAATCTATGTAGGCGGAAGATGAGTCTAGAGATGAATTATCAAAATTATCTCCACCTACCACAGTTTAAGAAGAATGCCCGGTCACAGGCTTAGCTCACGTCTTTTATTTAGCAGTGATAGACTAGAGGGAAAGTAGCTAGTCAACACCACCCACCGCCAACTCTTGTGCTACTATTTTACCAACGAATAGTGGGATTGACTGTCACATTATAACGCTCCCACAGATGAAAGGGCGAGCATGTTCGGTGATGGGGATTCGAACCCGTCACCCGCAGATTGCGAGTCGAGCGTCCTAACCACCAGGCCCTAGGCCCCCAGTGGCACAGAGGTATGTATGCGGACTTACAACGCTAGAAACCAGGTTTCGATACCCGTGGTGAGCAGAGCACAGATAGCCCATTGTGTAGCTTTGTGCTTAACTTCAAACGAAACAAACAAACAAAAACAAATCCAGGCCCTAGATTGTTGTTAGATAGCTATGTATCTTTAGATATAGCACAGTTTTGTGTAAAAAATTCCATATAATTAAAACATTTTTATTATTTTTTAATCTTTAAACAGTTTACTATTTCACAAATTTGTATAAAGATTTTAAAATCTGATTAAAATGTGATTTTCATTGGTTAGAATTTGCCAAGATAGTAGGAAGAATATGTTGAAATGAATTCATATTTGCAACTATTAATGTCGGTATGCCTGTATTCAAGGAATGGTAAATAAGCCTGTAGTTCGGACCTCCTTTAAGCCTAGTGTTATTACATTAGTTGTAAGAGGCGAACTATAAAAGCAAGAACAGAGGAGTCAGTTGATCAAACAATATCAACATTTTAGTGAAAGAAAAAATATTTTAGATCGTCTGTAGCCAGTCTGTTTGTTTGTTTGTTGGAAAGCACAAAGCTACACAATGGGCCGTCTGTGCTCTGCTCACCGAGGGTATCGCAACCCGATTTTTAGCATTATAAGCCCACTGATTTACTGCTGAGCCACCTGGGAGCTGTAAATAAGTCAAACACCTTAAATGAAATTACTGTAATTAGAGTCTTCGTGCCTGCCTATTGTTAGTACACTGCTTTTCGCAAAGACAAATCGATCCGTTTGGCATATAAGGCTGCAATGACGTCATCATCACTAGCGTGCGTGTAAGTCGCAACTCTTCTTTGATGAGTAAATCGTGACGTTCGATAATGCAGGGCCTAATTATCAAAGTCCTGAGTGGATACTCAGTGTGTGATGTGAATGACGTTTTTGTATACGCGTCTTGTTTGTGTAGAATATTTATCAAAAATAAGATAGGATTCGAAATCAATGTTAGAGAAACTGTGCAGGTAGAGGGTTTTGTTTGTAGGTGTTTTAGGATGTTCGCGGATAAGAGGGTGGCATGCAGAGTACGTTTGAGCCTTCAAATTGGAGGTTATAGCGACCATTGTTTTTAGATTCGTTTTGTTAGTGCATATATTGTTACTTAAAGAGCTAAATTATTAGAAACATTATTTACTTAAGAATGATAGTGACTTTAAAATTATCATTTGTAATTCTTTTATCTCCAACAAAGCTAGTAGTTTACAGTAAAGTGACTCGGTTGTTATGGAGAACAGCGCGAAAGGTAAACTTTTACGCACCCTTGCTGTCAGTTAGAGTGGCTAAAAGTTTCAAAACACTCGTGAGTTTCAAAGATGTTTTATAATTTAGTAGCAACATAAATATATTAAGATATCTGCATGGAAGCACAATATTATAATTTGGTAAAAGTTTGAAAATTATTCCGTTAGTCTGCATACTGCTTCTAAAATCATTTTTCGTTCTGAGGACCTTTGCGAACTGGTCGAATTTTTTTTTTTGGGGGGGGGGAGATTCCACATTTTAATTAACCTGAAGGTGAAACACATCAGAAAGAAGCCTAAAATTGGGACGGAATTAATTGCATGTGTAAGAATTCTGTTACTGTTTCAAGAACTTTTTTATCTTATTCACCATTTATATTCTTATGTATATCTATGTTTTGTTTTGGTTTCGCTGTGAGCGGGTGTTAAGAGCGGTGCAAACCTTATTGAGCTGTAAGTTGTGTATAGTTTTATATTTGATGATTTAATAACTTGTAATTTTATAGTTATGTATTGATTTAAGTTTGGTGGCATTTAAGATATAACGACTAGATATACCTATAAAAATAAGTGCCCTCCAGTGGCACAGCGGTATGTCTGTGGACTTACAACGCTAGAAACTGGGTTTCGATACCCGTGGTGGGCAGAGCACAGATATCCTATTGTGTAGCTTTTTGCTTAATTACAAACAAACAATAAAAATAAGTGTGATTAGACAAGCAAGTGGATATATGACACATTTCAACTGTGACAGCTGTAATATATTCTGGGAGTTATGTAATGATGTATATCCCCATTATGGAATATTCTGGATCAAGCACTGTTCTGAAAGCTGATAGTAATTACTGTTTGCATGTGCTGAACAATATCGCAAAACGACCTTATAGGCAGTAGGT